AATCTTTTTCATGCCTCATGTCCATTACAAATGAGGTTCATGACAGTGGCTAAGGCTCATGCTTGGCTTGCATCGATGAACATATAAGACAACAAGTGCTCCTGTATGTTTAATTTTCACGTTTTTAATATCGGCTTCCGCGTAAACTGAGAGTCGACACCTTCGATATTAGACATAAAATTTTACAGCTAACGCTTTTAAAAATATTTATTTAATGTCATATCTGTACAGTGATCACGTTTCATTTTTTGACTTCCATTCACTGTCTGAGTAATTTTTGCAAAGTTTGAAGCATATACTACCACGACTTTCTAATTCCTGCCCTAGCATGACCCGGCTACCGGGATTTCTGAGGACCCGTATGTTATATAGGCTTGATTGGGAATAATATTAATGGATGATTCAATATCTATGTCATATGTGGATGAATGTAAGGGTATGTGCAAATTGGGATTTCTTCGAGGGTCTAAAATACATTAGGTCAATTTCTTTTCCTCAAATGGAAATCGGTTAAATTGGGATAAGAAGGAAAAAATTGACGATGGCGGCAGTTGCGTTTTGACCATTGGCGGCAGAGGCAGGATTACAGTTAATTGCAATCTCGGAAACCTCTGTGAATAGTGGGCAAAGGGAGTAGAAACAGCAATGCTCATTGTTTGGGTAAAAATACGAATATGCTTACAACAGCGCAAGCCAAGGTGGCGCCTTGTTCAATCGCCGCAATTTTGTGTCCACGCCACACGCGACGATGGTGGTTTCTTTAAACATAGGAGCCGTCTTAACTGTCTCTTTAACCAACCATTTTATTAATGCCTTCAACGCGCGGTCAAGGGCACCTCAAACCTGCACAACAGTGTTTTTGACTGTGCTTTCCAACTTTTAGCTGTGAGTGCATGTGTACATTGACATCCGTTTCTTTTTAATGATACCCAATTAGATTCCATTACCCCACCGCATTGAACGGCTAACTCCCACCGGAAATTACTATTCCGATAGTAAAAAATTGGGCAGTGCTTGTCCGGACAAAAGTGGGTGGTGTGAAGGCACTCCGTGGCCAGCATCTCACGGTCAACAAAAATAATCTCATACCAGCAGTATGGGAGACAATTAAGCTATCTAGTCAGCACTGAAGTATTTAAAGTGAATAATGAGTTGCACCCACACGAAATTGAAACCTTATGAGGAGCCATACTTAATTATGACACTTTTATTGGCTTTCACCACGCAACTTCCGATGCAAAAAATACATTCATTATGGTCTTGCCCTTCAGCGTATGTGTGGGGGAGAACATCAAGTTTCCTTGACGATTGGTAGATTGGAGCAAAAAACTAATTGAGAGCTTAGTGAGATTTACTTATCAGTAAGTATGAAGATGCCTCAGAATCCTCTAATTCGATACGATGAGCCTCCACTGTTTTTCACAATCTTCGAAAAATGCATGGAAATAACATATGGTCAATTTCTTTCTCATAAAATGGCTCACTTATGAAATTAAATGCATAAGTAACTTTTCCCTTCAACAGCCCAATCAAAGATTGCTATTGACACTTTTTCCTAGTACAGATAGGATCATGTCGGACCGGAGGTGATAAACGACAATAATGAAGCAGTGAAACACGAGATTCATCTTTATACCTTTGTACATCAAATTAAAGAATGTATTTGAACCACAGTCCATTTGGCTTTAAAAAAGAAAGTAAGCTTTTAAAAATAGCAAAGCGCACAACCCAGCAAAGATCCCACCTGCAGCCGAACATCACGAATTCCGGTTAAGGCCCGTGCTTTCAATTCATCCTTTTAGCTAAAATGGATTGCCAGTGCGTTGTACCATTAAAAAGACTAAGTTTACCAAAAGTCGTTCCCAACTTTTTACTCCTACAAATCCTATCCCAAAAAACCAGCAACCTGTTTGACAGACGTCGTCAGTTTGTTGCTACATTTTGACATTGACTCCGCCCATCAATCGGAGAGGGATAAAAAAGTCCACCCAGATGTTACGGAGCATCTGGAGCAATTTTTTAAAGCGAGTTCAATTTGGCTTAAAGTTTACAAAATCAAGGTAATGCTAACCAGTGCGGAAACGTTTCGAAAATACCAGAAAATATCTCATCACTCAGGAAGTCTTATCAACAAAGCACAAAATTTCTAGTTGAGGATAACTTTTATGCAGCACAGTTTCAGGCATCAAGAGTTCTACTGAGTCACATCAAAGTAGAATTAGCCGCGACGATAAGATCCACGACTACGGGAGTTATGCTGCGAGATGCCGCTGCAGCCACGTCCACCACCTCGAAAACGGGTTAGAAAAGCCCCTCTTCTTCCTTCACTCCTGCCTCTGATATCGCCACTGCCATGGAGCGTCTCTGTGTGGCGGGGAGTGGAACTCGGAGCAACTGGAAGTATGTCTTCCGTCACCTACGAACATCAAATGTGTTAAATCCAATTCAACAAATACTGAAGAAATAATATATCTACCTTGGAAAGTATGTATTGATTGATTTACTTCATTGTGCCGCACCTTGCTCTGGATAGGATTTCAAAATGAAGAACCCTATGTAAAACGACTATTCCTCGACCGCCTAAGCACCAGTTACGGTGCATAGACTGACGAGTCTTGCAAAAAATCTCAAACTGGGATCGATCTAGTAATCGAAAATTCAAATAGAGTCCCCAAGTAGTGCCAGTAGAGCACCTAAAGAACGCACCGTTAACAAGAGAACGATAAGATTTAAATCAGCAAAATTGACCACAAACGTTCATATCTATAGGCCTCTAGTCAGTAAACCTTATTTAAAATTTGTCTATCTTAACTCCTAAAGGAAGTATTGACGATGAAACATTTTATTTCGCATCACAGCTTACCAATCTACTCTCTCCAGCTCTTACATCATTAGAATTTCACCACTGATTCCAGCACCTGCGAAATAACAGAGAAATGCTTACAAAGTCTACTTTTAAATTAGAGGGACGGTATGGACCAAACGCCAATAGTTTGGGGCAGCAACAATTTTGTGTACTACGAAAGCGATGGGGATTCAATTAGCTTGGTTAATTAGCATCATTCACTCATAAAGTTAGTGGGTCTGATTATATTTTTGGGCAGCCTGGAAATGAGCCTGGTGTTATGGACAGTTTAAGTCAGTTGTAGCTTTGCTGATTTAAGCATGCCATTTCGTTTTATAGGCTGAAGGGGATGAAACCTGACCAGTAAGACCGTGTAAATCACAGCTTTGATGCTCCGAATCACTAACTTTTGAGATAAAACCCACCTCCGTGTTGTCGAGAGTGCGAAGCATGCTAACGGGGACCTCCTCCTGCTCCTCGCTCTCGAGATAGGCCACCAGGGCCACGCGCTCACCAGCCACCTTGGAGGGGAGGAGGCCGACAAGACGCGCCGCCTCGTAGTCGCCCGACATGACGCGCGCTTGCAGAACTGTGCCCGGAGCGAGGCGCAGTCTCGTCGGTGCCGATGATGTCGTTATTAGGGGCTTCGAAGGACCAGGTCGTTGAGGCAGCGCCTGGTCCATGAACTCGGAGAGAGGCACCGGTCCACTCAAAGGCCTCCCTCGAAGACCTGCCCTCCCAGCTGCTGCCACCTAGAGAGGAACACAAGGTAAGAAACTTGGAGTTCTAATGTTGCATAACATTAAGCTTCATAGTTTCAACGCCGGACCCCTGTGACCCAAATCACCCCAAAAATGTTTCTAGAAGCCAGACCTCCTATATCTTTATAACAGCTAGTCCCAGACCTACGTCTTTTATATTGCCTTTTGGAATAAATTGAGAGCCGCATACCGACCCTGCATCAGGTTGTCTATTGTCAATAACTCCCCTCAATCCAATCCGATTATTATAGATGCGACCATTTAGTCATTCAAAATAGAGGATTGATTAAAAGGTAGAAGACAGCATTCTTATTCCAAAGGATGCTCGTAAGATCTTTCATTTTGATGTTGTCACAAAAATATACAGAACACCGAAAGCTCATCGTGCAACTCCAAACTGAACATAGTCTTCTCCAGTGGGACGTAGAGCGGTTAATTGACAATTTTAAAACCGCATTAATCCCACCAGAGCAGAATTTTTCGTTGGGTAACTACAGCTAATTTCAAATTGCATGCAAATATTTTCACAACCTCGTGTACAGAGGAGAGTCGAAATTCATTTAAGCGCATTAAGACATCCGCCTTGCACGAGGAACTTTAAAGCTTTAAATTTTGATTCAGATACAAATATGCCATTCACTAAAAGTGGGTGGGCAGAAAGGATCAATAGAAAAATATCCCGATGTTTTGATTATTAAAACCCTTACAGAAAAAAGTAAATTATCACTTAAGAGCTAACCTAAATTCATACCTCTACTCGATTTTCATCACAGTTTAGACTGAAAAGTCTGAGGCAGTTTGAATGGACACTAATAACATCTTTGCTTGGCCTAAATGAACGGCTGCATCTAAAGTGTAGGCAGTATAAGTGAATTAGACGAACGTTAATTTATTCGTGTTAGCTTGGAACCAACAAGTGGGAGTGGATAAATGGGAAAAATTAAATTATACGAGGATATTAAAGAATTACATCGTTTTAGGCGACAGTTGCAACCAATACAATTGTTAACTTCGATTCAAAGTAACAAACAAATGAGTTTCCATAAGACGGACAGAATAAATGAAGAGAACTATAGTCATGAGTTAAATATGAGAAACAGCTACCTATGGATCAATGTAGCCTTTGTGATGTAAGTATGTAACATAGTTACCCCTTAGGAGGCAGAAATTCAATATCTATTCATTGAGTTTTAGCAAAATGCGATTTCCGTTGCAATAAATATTCCCTTTCTTATGGTACTTTTTCAATAAAATAGTGAATGCGACATTTAGTGAACAATAGGAACCAGAGAACAGAAGGCGATATCATCGCCACAAAAGCTTAATTTTTTACCATCAACAGTGTAGTGGAATTTGACAGTCAAAAAAACGTAACTATAGCTAATTGAGGGACCTAATAAAATTGGATTATTAACTATGCCTCATTGAAATAGGTAAAAATAGGATATTTACCAGTAAAACCAACCCTTAATGAACGGTGATAAATGATTAGGACGTAATACGATTTAACAATTCCTATCAAACTAGGCCAAACTGCTGTAATCAGAACTTCACCCCTCTAAGATAAGCTCTGCATGCCATAGATAGCACCTCTAATATCACGTTTTTTATTTTACCGACAATGGAGAGGGTACTACTGCTGACAAACTTTTATTGAAAATACAAAAAGGTATACGGAATCCTGGTGAGTTTAATAGGTGAATACCAAAAATAACTTATTCATTGTCATTTAGGAATTCCAGCTTATAATCGCAAGCTACACACCTATAAGTTCTACTTAAAATGTAAAAACAGTAACTGACAAATATAAAATGTCCCTACTTAAACATTTTTTGAAACAAACTAAAAAAGAGGCATGTCCGTTTCTTTAGAGTAAGCCAAACACAATAAAACTAGCTTGTAAAAATAGCAAAAACAAGTTTGTTTCATAGTACAAGCAAAAACATTAACAATTGTATCGCCTCAACGTTTTTGGTAGCAGCTGGACAATACCATTCAAAAAAAATCGGAAACGCTAACGTTGCTTTTGTTCACAGTTTGCCCTGTCTTTTTGATGGATGCCAAAGGGATCCATCAATTTTGCTTGTTTAAAAGAATCCCTCAGACTATTCATCCGTTATCGAAACGGAGAGAGATGAAAGAGACGCATTACCTAATGCCTCGTCGAAGTAAGCCAAACCCATTTCGTTAAGCAATTATGAGGTGTCGGTAATTCATCTAGGAATCATTTATCATAGATTTGTTTGACTTTCCCAAAATACCGAAGAATTTTATCCCAGAATTGCTTGTATTTGAAATGTTGAGATGTTTACACCTAAGGTAATTATTCAAGTCCTAGTATGACTACCGTTTTATCGCTAATTTGGTTAGAATAAAAAGAACCAGAGTTATATTGCACAAGTCGTGTATGATCGCGTAATGCTATTTTTTGGAAGTATTCGATGATACACTCTAAAACAAGACAAACAACTATGGGTTCAATTTAAGTTTACTTTTAATAAGAACCTCATCCCAAAGGATCTAACTGTCAATCTACAAAATTGTTCCACCCACGGTCTATTCATCACGCAGATATCTCCAAATGCAAAGGTTAAGGAAACCGAGCATTATGAGTGACGTGTGTAATAAGACATCCTTTAATTCAATTACCACTTGTCGAAACAGTGTTGCCACGCCATGTTTAATTTATGCAGGGATCCGTGTGATTCTATTCAAGTGACCTACAGTCTATGACAATGAAAAAAACGTGGATCTTCCACCGAGTTCGACACCCATTTAAACAATCGAATAACGGCTATTGATGTACTCATGCTAACCGCATGCTAAATATGGACTATTTCCTGAACAAATGTAAAAGTATCCAGCAGCAAGACGACGCAGAGCTATCGACGTAGTATTTTCCAAATTACTAGTTAATAGTGAAGAGTTTCATATGGCACACACTTGGCCTTTAAATCCATTAGATTCTAAAACAAATACTTTTCATGCCTAATATCCCCTATACTCTAGAGGACGTCGAACAATTAAGTTCTACCAACTCTATAAGAACAACGTTTGCCCGTCGCCTTTTGCTATTTTGAGGACAAATGATTAATGGCATCTAAATAAGCACGGAAGCGTCTATGTAAATGACATTTTCATCCACGGTCCAATCCACCTTACTGGTGGGCGTCGAGGTAATTCATTACCTTAGGTCTGTGCTCAAAGTGAGCAATCAAAAAATTACATGATAATAGCGCTGAACTCTTCAGATGAAATAATACCCCTGATAACCAATCAAAGCAGGCTAAATCTATTAAGAAGATTTCGAGAAGCTACCAGGAACTGCACAGTGGTATATACCAACTTTCGAAATGTTAAGTTGTGAAATGATAACTCACACGTAAACCCTGTGGTTTTAAGGCTTCGAATCTTAGCCCCATGATGTGGAAATCTGTGAGGTTTCTCGAGGATGCGTCAAGTGCGATTTGCATACCTTCAAATCACAGTCAAAATCCCAATTGAAAAAGACCTTGAGTCATTTTTTCACCTAATTTTCGAGTAAAAATCTGTTCCAAAAGAGTTTAGTCGGTAAATAAAACGGTTCCAGCTAGACTACCTGTTTGATGGATGGGGTTACCCGCAAACCCAAAATAGTTACCACTTAATAATGAATAAATCCCCAAGTTCATTCACTTGTTATTGAAACAACGGAATCTGTTTTATTCATTCAAACATGTTAACACCTAACAGATACGAAAGTTTCTTACAACTGCTTTAGATTGATATCGAGCTACTGAGATCGTTGAACAGAAATTGGAGCCAATCAAATTACGCAAAAAAATGAAAAAAAGCCACACAGCTCACCGAGTCGAAGCGTGGATCCTCCTCAATATCAAGGTTGAATTTCCTACTGCGTTCAGCGCCCCTACGTCCATGACCTCGTCCGCGCTCTACGTCCGACCTGGCCCCGTACGGGAAGCTGGGGTGGCGATCAGGTTGGCGTACCATGAGGCGATTGATGGCGCCATCTAGATTGTTTTTTGACTCCTCCAAGGCCGTGTTGGCTTCATGCGGCTGGTAGCCCATGGAAACCAGCTGGGCAAGGTTGAGATCACGTTCTACTGCCATGTCTATTTGCGCTTGTTGGAATCTGACAAATGGAAAAGGACATAACACTGAATATGAATAGCCATCATCACAAAGCATTGAAATTAATTCTATAGAGAAGTAATATGCATCCAAGTTTGTCCATATACAAAAGAACGAGTCATTGTAGTTGCACGGTATTTCAACCAAGTGTTTTGGGAAAAGGCCAATGAAGGAAAAACCTGAAAACAAATCATTGATGCCGATTTCACCATGCCCTAAATAAATCCCATTTTCCCATTGACGCTTTTCAAGTTATTTTTTATACTTTCGGTAAATTTTTGTGCCATGGTATATGGGTAAACTGATATTGTTAAGAAGTTTTTTCCAGCTGGTATGGTTTCCGTCGACATGGGGTAGTAAGTTGTATGCCAGTCTATTGTCCATGGTGAATAATAACTTGATATACATGAAAATCGAAAACTGTTTGGGGGTACTTTTTTCCGATGAATTCGATGTCATGAACAAAATTCTTTGTGACTGGCCAAATTGACTGGCAATAACACAGTAGCTCAAATTCGTACGAACGAGGTTCGGACAAATTGTCAATTTTTGATTTTGCTAACTTCTTGAACGAATTCAGAACCTTAAATTTTTGAAACACTAGTGGTTTCTTCAATACAGTAACTTAGGCTTATCAGAAGCATAACAAATTCACAAAATATTGGGTTTCATGATGGCAATCACAAAAACTCGCTTCTAGTCCTAGTAGAAATGATTAGCGGAAGTGGGTCGTGATGAAAGACTAACTCAGAAGAGGACGAGTGAGTATCTTGCTCATTATTATTATTAAAGCTGTTCCTGTGAGTTCTCGACAGATGTGCAATAGACTGCAGTCAAAGCCCTACTCAATTCAAAATTCATTACGCTTTTGGGAAAAGTGGCAGTCAAAAGATGGTTCATTAATAAATAATAGGAGATAAGACGCGACCATCTATGGGGCTGAATGGCCCTCCAGACTACACTTAAAGTGGCCTTGATGATCACCACCGAGACAACGGTCTTGGATGCCGTTTTACTTCTCCTAGGTAAAATCACTAGGTGATAAGTGATATTTGACTATAACAAAGTGGCTTAATGCCCATCACGACAGTTTGAAGGGGACAGTGCATGTGATCATAACCATTCTCCCGAGTACAGTTCTATCGAGGCAGATAATAATGACACCCAAAAATCACTTTTACCTCCAAATAATGTGGCATTATATGATGGGGTACGCACACAAACACGTACTCCTTCAGTAGGTAGTCTCAAACGATATGCAGGTGCAAAAAAGACAAAGCATTCAAGAGAGCTCAAAGCATTGGAACAGTCATTAGGTAGAACTACGACAAATTCAAATCTTTCGACTACCAGATTATAAATCAATTGAATTATATTTTGATTTCTATTTTAAGTTCATAATGACTATAGTAAAAAAGACCAGATTTACTAGCATTCCATGTTCGGCCTCAATATTAAACGGGAGTCATGTTCTTATTTAAATAAGCATACAGATGGATTCGTAATGATAAAAGAATACCAGCACAAAATGCAAAAGTGGCTAATAAAGCAAACCATGTGAGTATTCACTTTAAACAACACGTGAAAAACAGTGATTGCAATAATTCACCAAAACCTTTTCTTAATCTGATCGAGGCAATAAACCCCACAATTCTAGGAAAACATGACGGCTTTCACCCAAATTCACCGCTGATTTACAGGTCCAGCCTATTAAAGAGTAGGGCGGAAGAAAGGGAATGGAATTGTGGGATATAGAGGTCCTTGGACGATGACTCAGTCACCTCAATGTTTGGTGTACACACCAGATGCCCGGAGCAATTAATAGCAATACCGCCGTCTCCGCTACCAGCAGGAACAGAATAGCAGGGGGTCAACGAGAGTGAATAAGCGAAAGCGAGGAGGAGGGAGAAGAGATTATCGATGCCATCTGTCGCCAAGATAATAGAGTAAATTAGCCAGGAAAAAGTGACAAGCAATCGTACATCTGCTATGTATCTGTTGGGCAAAATCCCGGCATGCATGATACTGTTAATTATCAGACATGATTATGGACACTTGCACAGGATTTGGTATACCATGAAGGCAGCAACACTCAATGGAGATACTGATAATTCAACGGTACAGTAAGGCCGTCGTGTAAGGGGAATCTGCATTTTAACTCGGAGTAAAACGTATTTCATGTTTATGTGTAATGCGTTGTTTACTAAAAATATCCAAAAAATAATAAACTTTATTAAAATAACAGGAAAAATCAATTTCTTGTTTTTCAGCAGAACAACTGCACGAACTTTTCAAGTTGCTTCCTCTGAAATTAGGAGGGCTGTGATAACTAATAACGTGGACAGCATGTAATCCGTATGATGCATAAAAGAGATAAAATTTATCTGAGAATAAAATCACACTTTCAGGATGATACAACTCCAATTTCCATAACCAAACTACATTCCATTAACCATAGAAGGGTGACCATGCTAGCAAAAAAATTAATTAAATGTTGAAAAATTGGATTAAATCATTTTAATGCATAACAATGGCAAGCACGGTGAAAGTCCGAAGGTGAGCTATTCATTTATCAGGAGCAAACAAGGATGAATATGTAAATGAATAGGCATTGGGAGAATAAGACGTATAGCCACCAATTATTACAACCATACTAATAGGATTGGTGTATCAGTATCTCACGTTATTAGTATAACTTATGAAAGGGAAGAAAATGTCTAGTGCAATTGCAGGCAAAACCGTTTGTGTTTGGAAAATGTGGATATCACCAAATCCACAGTGGGATGCTTAAAATAATAGTAAAATAACATGTTCGATTAAATAATTGGCAATTTTCTGCCCCAAAACCTATAAAATGGCAGTTGCTTGTTTAGGGACCAAACAGTTCACTCAACACTGACGTTTGTCGGCAGGATATTGGACAATGAATAAAGGCAATATCTACTTATTTTCAACAAAGGTGTTCGAAAATGGCAATGAAAAGTACTCTGAATTGAGAGATTTGGCGTATCAGTGACGAAGAAAAAGGGATTATTAGAGGATCAGTCATGCAGAAACCCGAGACATTTTAGCCCAGCATAAATTCGACTGCTCAAGCCCGAAGACAGATATTCTGAACTTTAGGGTTCATTAATGCTTCATCAACCACAATTCAGTTATTGGAAGGCAGTAAAAGAAATGTCACAACGTTTGACTTTTACGGCGAAACAGGGTTACCACTTGCGAGACGAGATTGGACACCAACCCAAATGAATAACTTCTTAGATTCTGTTCAAAATATGGAATTTTTGACACATACCATGAAGGTGAAATACATTTCATAGTGTGCAGACAATTCCAATGCAGATTTGAAGACGACGAAAGGATGGACACAATCCCAAGCGGAAGAGAAAAAAACGCTTCAAATCTTCGCTCACAACAAAAAAAGGACTACAGACGTAAACCACCCTCCGCCACTTCATGCATGTGTAGCGCCAGGTGTAACAATACTAATTCATATGCAAACGACCCGACGGTTAATATATATGCTTGATGAGCCTTTGGTAAAAAGTCATGAATTACACTGACGAGGAAGGTAACACTTCAAAACATGCATTGTGCCTGTAGGCAGTTGAGCGTAACCAATCTTGCAAGAGAGTGAGATCCTCACATCTCAATTTTTATGACAAGTCGAAAGAAAACACCTGGTGTCAGAGTAAGCTTCTGGAAATAGGGAGGCTTCGATTGTTCTACAGCATTTCTTTACGCATTGGCGAAAGGTGTTGTGGTCCTGAAAATAGTTGACACGTTCAATGACATCTGCGATAAGATAGGGCTTTTGCTTGATACTTAAGCATTGGTATAAAGATAATTCAATCAGCAAAATTAACTTCATGCGAATACATTTTTCGTATATCCAAAGTTATCAGAGCACGAGATATTGAAACGTTGTGGGACAGCAGCGTAATACAAATAGGTAGAGATGACAAAAACGTTATGATTCCGTGATTGCTCATTAAGTCATTTTCATACGTGGAAACCGTTAGGCAAAATCCCCCGATACGCATGTAGTAGATGCGAAAAATTATAATAAATGTAGGACGACTCCACTCATTTAACCCTCTTTTTTTCCTAAGGAAATCCCTAAAGGCGGGGATCTAAGGTTAATCTGAGTAGATTAACACAAATCCAAAAAACATTGTTGTGTTTGGCCAATATAGAATGAGTCAGCTGAAACCAGCGTAATGAGCTTTGTCGATTGCAGTGAATAGGGAGACGAAAGTACAGTGACGCATAGAAAACATATTAAAACATCCTTCAAATTTAACTTGGGCAGAGAGCACATCTCTTACATTCATTCTAAATCCTGTGATGATAGTTTGCGATCGAAAAGTTTAATATAACCGAATCCAAACATGAAATAAAACAAGCATGGTTATTAGATGGGCAGAGCGAAAATATGGGCAAAGGAGGTACGTACTTGGATCCACCAATTTTAAATTTGTGCTGTACCAGTGCAGTGGTACTAATAGACAAAGAGTTCTGAGCATCAGCCACAATTTCGCGTCGTTTTTGTTGAAAGTCTGATTCATCCCCGGTCGATGCAGCGTCGATCCTCGAAGTGGCATTCATAGCCAATTTGAGTGAATCAAAAGTGTCTGTGGAGTGCAAACAGAAGACAAACACACTATTCACGCATGTGGAGCCACGCCAAGTAAAACTGTTGGAAAAAGCACTAGACACTGTCTAGTAGGAATCAAGTATTTAATTTACTTAAGCTATCTTTTATTCTCATTGGCACATACATAGGTTGCATCAAGTAATTTGGCTTTGATTAGCCTGTAATCATGGAAGACAAACCTGCTATGGTTTCTCCATGGGTTAACACAGTTAATGACCGCTTTGCTTGCTCTATTCACTTTGTTTAATTTTTTCCAACTAACAAAACAGTTGACAGTTAATATTAATTCTTATCCTATGCATCGTTTCGAGAATTGTAATCACAGCAGTCATGAAATATCCGTTGGGCTTGCTGAAATGTCTGAAACGTACTCCAAAATCACCCGACACCTAAATTTCGAGATTCCAATGTTTTCTTTGGTTCGTGATTGTCGTAACGCAAGAAGCACTGAAACATTGTGAATACTCAACAAACCATCAAGGTTCTAGGAGCACATTCGGGAAGGATTGCTTTATGAAATTATTTCTAGTAATCGTTAATCACAACGACCACAGGGTCGAAAGAAGTGTGATCATGTTAATAATTCTTCAGATGAATATCTTTGAGGCGAAATGGATGAAAGCATTCCAAACTTTAAATGTCGAGCATTAAACCCTCCTTAGACGTGGTCGAGCATTAGTTTCATGCGTATACGATAGCGAGTACACGGCAATCAACTGACACGTGTTATAATATATACAGTCAGATAAACGAATGAATACATAACTACTTTATTGTAAACAAGGTAGGTTTTTTTGCGTAATAGACTAGACTACTTACTTAAAGTATTGGACAACTAATGCGGTGCCAATAAATTAACATTAAATCTGCGCCAGTGAGGGATGGGATTAAAAATCGGTATAAGTAGCTTCAAATAAATCCAAAGTTGATAAGACAGCAATCTACTCGTAAAGCAACACGTCCCCTAGACAAAAGGAAAAGGCACCTTTTGTAAACGTCATTAATGATCAGAGAGGATGGCAAGCATACATAAACTTCTGGTAGAGTTAAATACATTAAAGAATAACTCAAGACGCTTTCTATAAAACACAACTCTACATAATAAACGGAAAAATATTCAACGTCACTATCACCAATGATAAAACCTAAGAATTTACACGATTCTTTTCAAGAGTTGGAGCACAAATAACGAAAGAAATTTGATTAAACTGCTGATGAGACCAAGCATTTTCGAGAATGGCAAAAAGATGACAAACCTTTGGGTCGGCGGTCTCTGTTCCACAGGTTATCGAGGAATTCGTTGTGTGAGTCGACCATGGCGGAGGCCTCTGGTGTGTCGAAGGCGACAAACGGGGGCGGTGCGTCAGGTCCAGTACGGTGGGAGCGCCGCGCTCCTTTTGCGTCCTAAAAATCAGCGTGGATGCCTAATTTTGCAGAGCCCACGCGCATTGAGTAGCTGGTGTAGAACAGGGCAGGGTACGATAATGGCAGTTCATATGCTAAGAAATGACGGGGGAGAGCACTGAATGAGACTAAACACATTAATAAAGAATTGCGCTGTTAAGCTGCGACGAAAATAGGAATTGAAGGGATAAATATTTCAAACAAGCAAATCTAAATAAAGTTCAGCTCTTGTGTGGCCATAACTGGTTAAAATCAAACTACTTTGAAAGTTGATGCAAACAGACAAACAAATGGAGCACATACACGCATAAACACATGAGCTGCCATTAGCCCAAAACGAACTCTTAGAATGAGTCCGTTGTTACAGTTTTGAGATAATAGAAATAATGACTTTACATCAAGGGTTATGGATACCAAATCTACCCATCTAATGTACGTTCTCCTACTAGATGAATAGATTTGTTCAGAGTTTAGATCGTCGGATTGCATCGAAGCCCTACACTTCGTTACTTAATGTTTAAAGGATATTAAACCGAATAGAGGCAAAGGGAAAAGCAGATTGAAATAACATTCCTACCCTTGTGAGAAGCCACTCTCGACAAAGCAGGCTGACAGAACCCTGAAGAACTTCGAAATTGTTGCGTCGGAGAATGAGAAAACCAATGCGAATCTGTACACGACCGCTCAGACGAATTTTAGTTCCAGGCGGCGTCTCAATTCTGAACCCAAGTTAAGCTTACCATAGATTCTACTGAAGGTAATGGCAAGGGATTCAGAAAAATAAGATCTATCCAAACTTCTATTTTTAAAAAGTGACACATTCACCCCTATCAATGACAAACCCCTTGCTTTCCTTGCATTTTTTGTCTTCTTGCAAAAGTATATTTTTAATTTACAACCTACACTTTGGCAAGATTAAGTAGTTTGAACAAATTTGAAGGCAAACAAAGATGTAGTGAAGCACACTAATCAGATTCTGACAAAAAAGTACAAGCACGAAAAATGAAAAACTAGTCCAAGATACTATAATACTACTCGTACTTGAAATGGTACTGGTTGTGGTCAGAGATAATGGCAATCACAGAATCTTATGGCCTACAAGTGCAAGAGAAGGATAAATCACGAAGAAATTATAATTTAGCTATGTCAATTACAATTAGGTTCGCTTAAAACGGTCGGAAAAGATACTACGATGGATTGAACACATCACGAGACTAGGGGAAAGTCAAAAGTAACAAAAAGTAGCATATCAGAGAAAAACGACGATTGCCGATACCTACAAGATGGCAATCGAAAGTAAGAGTTTAGTGGCGCCCAACCATACAAAAGGTGTAGATTTGGGTGGACCACTTCAACGCCCAAAGAAGGACTATTTCAGGTAAATTTATTTATTAGGCGAAACCACCAGGCAGTGATCTCCAATCTCACTAAAAGATTATAGGTCGAAGCCATCCTGTGGATCGTCGGCTGTCACCACCAAGTATCATGAATGTTTGAGAAAGAACTAATACAATCCTCTGAGAGAATAAATGCACCATGTTTATTCGCGAATAATCTAAATCGATAGGGAATTCAAAGATGAATGCGATGGGCAGGTTATGCGTAAGTCGAGCGAAATTGTGCTTAAGAAACAACACCACAACATAAAGGTGACTTTGGAGCTTCATAAAATTTACAACAGCAGCACAACATTTGAAATCTCACAAATTTTTGGAAAGTCGAAAATGGCAAATCGGTGCATACGAGTTGTAAGTATGGTGAGGAGCAGTGCAGCTAATTTGGTGCATACAGCGAAAGCACACAGAGGAGAAGGAAAACTCACGAAAGTTTGGGTGAGTTATCAACGTCCAGAGCCGAGATATTGCTTTTTCCATCTGTCAAAGTCAGTCTGAGGAGGCGAGGACCGCTTCCTGTGTTACCTAAACCGGTCTGGATATCCTCCTCTGCTTCCGAAATGGCAATATTACGTACACGAGCTATCTGAAGCACCCGTCCATCCGCATCCAGCTATAGCAGACAGCAAAACTTCGAATCCACCAGAGTTTGTCAATCAAAAGAAATAATCTTGAACAGTCAGTAAATAAAATTCCAAAAGTAGTATTAATGGGAAAAATGAATCTCAACAGTTAATGAAACCAAAATCTTTCCTTACCGAATCCTTGCCCCTCTTCGATTCAATCCATCCTACACCGTACTCTTTCATGTCAGTCTGAAAGATACGATAAGAGATGATTCGTTCCGGTTCGCATTGTAAGAATAACAGACGAGCTAATGGAGCTGTCAGTAAAGAAAATCCCTTTAACAAAAGTGACAGTAGTTGAATATAATTTGATATAGCAAAAAAATAGCACGGAAAAATTAAGAAATACCTTCTTCACTCGAAAAAGTTAATTGTACTGCTCCACTGGGCGATAATGGTAGACACGAACAAACGGTAATTTATTACTATTCTTACCTATTATGTCACATGGTGTGGAAAATTGCAACGCACATGAACTAATCCCTTGTACTTTTGCCTCTTAGTTCTAGGATGAACAGACGAGCAGTGCACAAATCTTGTCACTTTAACTATGCAACTAGTTTCATTAATTGGCCGTACTGAACTCATTTTTGTGAAAGTATGGTAATATAAACTTGTCCCTACTCTGAGGCATGTAGTATTCTATGCATTCATTCTTGAATGTTAGTATTGTACCGTAGACCCCACAAACATGCCTATTATAAACCAAACGTGATGTATAGATTACATAACACTACGAATGAAGCGATAACATCTAAAGACAATATAGTAGATCTTCACAAAGTTTTGGAAGATTACCTTAAATCCAACTAGTTAAACTCATAGGTATACGTGACGCATGGAAGACTGAATTTGGAAAATTGAATCAAAAACAATTGAGTGAGAAAAAAACGATAAAGTAATCAAACGAACTACACCGCCACGACAGGTGAAGTGGAAAGAGATATTTGTGCCGGACACCACTTTGTAAACACAGAATAACACCTGCATTTGGAAAAAGTAAAAGCAGAGGCTCGAAGTTGTAATATTTTATTGGAATGAAAGGCATTTTTGACAGTATTTTATGACATCCCCTACTCCAAACCGGAAGTAAAGCCGACAATCGGACAAACAAGGGACCGCTCCAATACAATGCGGCCGGAAATTAAAAGTACATGCTTAGCTGAATCGGAAAATAGGAAAGTCCTCTTCATCAAGAAAGTGTTTTTTCTTCCAGATCTTTCGTTAATATCTTCAGTTTGATGAATAAAAAAATAAAACCATACCCTGCTTAAAAGCGCGTGATTCCATCTAATAGAAAGCACCCAGCACAAATACTTTTGTTAAAATGAGTGGCACATAAAGATGGAAAATTCTACCCACAGACAGACCTAGTTACAACCATATTTTTCAGTAATGAAACTTTGAAATATTTAGCTTATAATATGTATTTCGGAAACGACATACATTGAGAAGGTGAGCTAAGACTTCTCGTTGACTCGGTAATTGGGACAGAAGACGATGAAACTTTCCCGAAATCGACCTGCAAGGAGTGGTTAACAGTACCAAAAAGTGTTAAAACATCAATGGATGAAAAAAAAGTAAATCGATTCTGTTTTAGCATAACCCAATAGGCTTACCATCCTGCTGGGATAATGTCGGTAGCAGCCATCTGAAAGCATAAAAAAATGTCGTAGAAATGAAAAACTGGCACCAAATATTTGTAAAACACAATACCTGATAACCGATCGACACATATTCATTAACTGACCTACGAGTGGTACAAATTTACATCGATGAGAAAGGGAAGCAATTTATGAAAACGAAAATACTGAGTTAAATTAATGCTTTCAAATAAGACAACGCAAAATACACGACTTTCATAAATTTTTAAAAATAATTTGCAATAAGCCAGTCATGTCGGTGGTAGACCCTAGAACTATGAGACAGCAATCCACATTGCAGTTGAACGGAAATTACAAGACTTCGCTTTGACAGAAAAACCCCAACAATGGATGAGTGGAAATTGGACGTTGACACACAGACGCCAGTCGACAATAAGTGACGTGTAATAGTGTGGCTAAGCTACTCCTCATCAATCGAAACTGTAAAACAAACGATGTGGGTGGGTCAATTATGCACTTCAACGAGTAAATGTCAAAAAATGAGTGAATACACCCTTGCATTTGGAGAGAGGGAGGAAACGATAACAAGGAGTGTTCCTCAGAGAAATTGCTACTTTGAGACCGCATATGTAACAAAATAAGATAAAGCAACAGCACTTTGAATTGAAGAATAAGCCAAATTAAGGCAGACACATGGTGGCTTCCTAAAGTGAAAACTTAATAATGTGAACCCAGGTACAGGCCAAAATATAAAGCGCATTCTCATTGGAAAAAGTAGTGAAATGATTATTTCCAACCTAGTTACCGGTTGCTGGTTGAATAAAAAACGGTAGAGAAGGAAGGGAAATGTTCGGAGGATATATCAAAATACTCTTTTGGATAACTTTAGGCTTAGCTTAGTAACGCTAGTTCGTCTCGAGATATTTTACCCAAAATAAGCTAACTATCGCCACTTGAATCAGTACCCCGGGAAGTGCAAGAATCGTTTAAGTTACTATAAATTGGACAAAACTAAACTCAGCTCTAATGTAGTTGTCAAGGAAAGTCAGAAGGGTCAAAAATGAATTAGGAACAATCAAAAGTGCAGAATCTAGCTGTTTCAGTCTACCCAATTAAGCTGTTCGTGAAAAATAAAGCAAGACTACAAAGGTACATCACTAAAGGAAAGTACGGGAAAGTGCTAAACATCAACAACCATAAGGATAGCTTGATAAATGTCTCATCGGATAAGTTTAAGAAGCGGCTGGATCAAAAAGAGAGCTTTCTTGGCCATGGCGTGAAAAGCCGATTATTACTTGAGTGTGTGCGTGCCTGGTTGGCTCCACAAATAAGCAGACAAAATTGATGGAAGGCTGCTTTCAAATGTTTAAGCAAAGGCGCTAACAAGTGTTTTGAAACCGATGCCTGATAGGAGAACGGCAGAGTTTACAGACACCCCAGAAAAAGCGGATCCCGGAAACAGATTATATTTAACCAAAAATGTTTCAAAAAGTACAGTACAGTATAAGAATTGAGATTACAATGGTGGGGACATCTGGACTCAATTTTCACTGTAGCCAAGAGCATCACCACAGGTCTCTTGCAGATGAAGCATCGATTCCTGGAGCTGCTCAAGAAGCGTCTGCATCTGGCATTCATTGAAGAGCTGCAAAAAAAGAAACAGTCGCTGTTACGGGATTGTGATGGCAATGCAAGAAAAGTTCCCAAATATTATGGTAGCTATTTCCAACTGTTACCGACCGAGAATAATAGCAACGCCAACTAGACCTGTCTATTTGCATCTCAATTTCCCCATTGTGGTAATGATTAAGAACGCTAATTACCGCTCACATGGGATGCTTTATACGGCATTTTCCAAATTTATCAAAGGTGCCGCCACCAGTCAGGTAGTTTTCAACCGGCGCCAACTTACAAGACTCGTTCAAATACATACAAAACACCTTTTCGCTTTTCTTTCACTCTCACAAACTCTCTGAAAATGTAGAACGATAAAAGCATATTGTTAAAAAAACTTGCGTCACACCGTTCAAAGAACATTCCAACAGCATACCTAATGGGCATTGTGAGCAGACCATTGTAGACCACTTAAGGTTAGGGAAAGTGATTGGAACCAGCTTCGTACATTAAGAACCACAAAAATACCGATAATGTCGCCCATAGAATACTGGCAGCAGATATACAGTTTCAAGAAACGGCCATCCTCTCCCACCTAATGTAAACTAACGGCATTTTTTCTAGGCCGCACCACCTATGAGGGATTTTACAATGTAAAGGAGGATGTGATAATTGCATCAGACAGCAAAGGAGATGGATATTGACAACAAGTTCTGCATAGCCCCAAGTCAAACGCAGATGCGGTTAACATTGCAGATATTTCTTTGAGTGGAAGTGAATGAGAGGAATGCCACAAAAACGGGATGCAATACATCTCGTGCCGCTTCTTTTTTTTCAACTAACGACCACCTTTGCACCTGATTTCGGTGTTGTATGAACGCTTTCACGGGTTAAATAAAAATAACAGTCAATTCGATTCATAAAAGTATTTTAATTCGGCCTTCAAATGACATTACTACTCCATCTCAGATGTTTGTACCTGCAGCAAAACTGACCAAAGTACAATAGAGTGACACGCATTTAATTTTGACTGATTCGCTTAGGAAGAAGTTCGTCGTCGATGTTTGTTTTAAACGTTCCAAAATTTCCAAAATTTAAAGTTCTGCATGAAAAAAACGGCCTAATACCCCATGATTTATCCACCCAACCATTCCCAATATAAGCGCCACCAAAAAAATTTAACAAATTAGGTAGCATAAATGTATGGCGCAAATTAGAGTAGGCAGTAAGAAAGGGTGCAAGCAGAGATATACCCTCATTTCACCGTTTATACGGACATCAAAAAATAGGCAGGCTTTGTCAATAAATTATGTTCCGATAGTAGTATAGTTAAAAAAATATGAGTTTGGTGACAGATCCGGTCAACGCACCTTAAAAATCCCAAATTGAGAGTTGGCCACGAGATCAGCAAGACGAACGCACTCGGCATGGCGACCAGTAAGCTTGAAAACCTTGATCAACATGAAGACGACCTCGCGAAGACAGGTCTCACGAAGGATGATCATCTGAAGCTTGCGGGAGTGTGGGGAGTCCCCGAGACCAGCGATACCCAGCTCCTCGGTCCCCCCTTCCTCATCCTGCTCCATTACCACCGCCGCAGAGCTAAACATGCCAGTGACATCGAATTCGCTAGTCGTGGCATTGGAATGAAGAACTGCTGCGTCCACCAACCACCCAGGTGATTCGTAAGTCAGCAAAGATTCCAGTTGCCTGACCAAAGACTGCAGAGTGCGCAGGCAGTTAAAAATTCAATCACTCCAGAAAGTATGGCGTGTTTATAGCCATGTAGCCTATCAGTTGATAAACTTAAAGTTACCGCATATCTATGCCTATAATTTTCGCCCATGGTTCTACTCTAAAATCCTTCTGCATCATTACCATAAAGCTATTCATAGAAATCTACTTTTAGCGCCTTCGGAGATAGCACGAGAATTACTCATGCCAAAAGATTAACTAATTAAGCACTTAACATTTCCAAAATATACAAATGCTGTGCCTTAGCAACAAAGAGGGAGCTCTTTTTCTACAATTAAAACATAAGTAATACGTGCATAGACTGCAATCAGAAACAAACCGTTATCCAATGTGGGCTAGGACTTAAAATCAATGAGCTATTTTTTTCATGAAATTTAAGACGCAAGAAAATATCATTAAAATTTGACCAATGTAACATTAAACAGAGTAGCGTACATAAAACAAAATCAAATAGTTAATTTTGCATTTCAGCCAAGGATTAATGAGGAAAAAATGAGTGAATTCACCACCGCACACCAAGTAAATAATAAATTCCAGGGAAATGATACAATAAAGACTTCTTTTTAAGTACAGAGAGGAAAACGTCCCTGCGTAGGAAGAGACAAAATTGCATACGCGAGCAAATTTTTGATCAATTTAAAATGTAGTGCTTTTGCAATGAGAGCTATAGTAGTTTTCATCCAAAAATGAAAGATGAGGCTTGAGCCCAGAAATGTGTAATTTTTATGGAAAGTTTAGGATGGGTTCTTTGCTATAAATGGAGAACAGTTCGTTCCCATTCAAAACCGAGGTTGATGCACGAAAAATGTTGAGCTAGTATCACTGGCATTCTGTTACCTAAACCAATATTTGGGGACTGATGATGGGGAAACCAAACGAAAGGAAAAAAGCGGGTGGGCGCAGCAAAAATATAGAAAAATAATTTCTCTCGGATATCATTCATTACTTCCTAATTACACCCGACAGAATGCATCCAGACGGAGGAGACTATTAGTACCCCACTGCCCCCTCATCTTTCTACTCCCGATCGTTTTCCAATATGAGAATAGCGAAAATCAGTTAGCGTAGACAAGACAAAAAGGTCAAGCTTATGCAAAAAAATATTTACTACAAGATATGGGACATAACGAAGAGGAAATTTAACGTTTCTGGGTGCCACTTGACTAGATCAACGAGCGATATGGTGCAATGCGTGCACATACCGAGGTGGAGAGCTCGACTTCATGATTCCAACACTCGAGGTGCGCTTTAAAATTCTTCTCCGCCTCTTCGGCAGCCACACGCTCCGCCAAAGAACCGAAAACACCAGCGCTGTTTACAGCAGGAGGAGTTGGCTTTTCCGAATTTATGCGCACATACCATTGATCGAAAGCCTCCTGAAAAAAGCGCAAAATAGAGGAAATCGATCAATTCCATAAAAAATACAGCTTAGAATTTCACCCCATAGCGTTACCTCTCGTTACCAACTTCGAGACTAGACCAAACTACAAGTTAAAAGCCTTTTAAATATAAATCGTTCGAGAAGTTGCAGTTTAATGCACACTATTCCGTATTTTGTGAAACATTGAAACCTCAAAATAAAGGAAATTAAAGTTTCGTTCTACCAAAGCTATTATAAATAACTGAACTGATCAATGGTGAGAGTGACTTTCACTTAAATTTTTTGATGGTGTCAGGTCTATTCTTATATCAAATAGGCAAAAATTAGAGATCCGTCACTTTTAATAAAAGCAGCCAGTTTGACGTTCAGGCGCAAAATCCGTAATAAGTTGTTTAAGGGTATTTAATCAGAACTAAATCAGAATGAACCTACAATCACCTGAAAATTTACTTATTTCAACTTATATAAATGAAAGCCTGTCCAATTGCACATACTACAACGAAAATTTTAGAGGTTGGTTTCCCTTCAACAGCCAAAAAGACGATACATAACAAAGGTGGTGAAATTTCTACGATAAAACTACCACTGTTGTAATAATAACACCCGCATATCGGTAGATTTTTGCACCAATTACAATTCGTAAATCCTTTCAACCTCTACTAAAACGATCCTTACACTTACGAAACACTGTAATTCTGATATTGATGGACCTTGCACAAATGACACAGTAACCTCAGCCTCTAAAAGTAGTCGAGTTCAAGCACTACCGCGCAAAACCCAACGAACACATTTGCAAAATATTTAGCACAAAATAAAGTTATGTCGATTTTTTTCAATGTGTTTGAATGTCACGCTGTGCTTGGTATAACCATTTTCGTAAAAAGAAAAAATAACAAAGTTTTGGTGTAATTTTGTCCGGCTATACTTGCCATATCAATGTCACACACTCAATTTGTCATATA